GCAGCATTCCACTGCATAAATGTCATTCCTGCATCTATACTTTGATAGCCTACCAGAGTTAACAAATCTGCAGATGATACAAAGTGTGTGTGGAAGTGGGGGAATGATTGTTAAATACCATAGTTTCAATAATCAGAATGAATTGGAAAAGCTGAAATTCTGGACTGAAATAATTAGATATGATTCAAGGTGGATAGCGCAAACTTCTAATTTACATATACAATCAAGAGTAGAGAAATATAAGAGTAAAGAAATACTTAGTTGTCATCAGTAGATGTAAAAGGAATCCAGGTAGATTACCAACTGAATAGGAACCAGTAATGTGATGTGCCTGGTAAGCAAAATGAATTGTTTTATTTCTCAATAATCATACATAATTTCATATTCATATTTAGGCATTTTTATATGTACAACTAACAGCCGAACCATGTGCTGAGTTACACACACTTAAACTCGCTGAAACCATAACAGCATTAAGAAAAGCCTTGCTGATCCATCATCTCTTCTTTCTCTTCCTACAATACCAACCAGATGCCTAAAGGAAGCTCACAAGCAGGACAAAATTGTCTCTTGATAAATACAATAACAGGCAACCCTGACACATTCCCTTCAGCTTGATATGAATAAATGTTTCCAGTAACCTGGGTTCATGTACTAATCTTTTCAGAAAAAAAAAAAAAAAGGTTGGTCACACTGAAAAACTTATTTAAGAAACAACTATATTGGTCAATGGGCTGGAGGAAGGATGAAGTTGAACTCAGACAAGACCTGTTGCTGCTTATCTATCAAGGCTGTGTGTCAGCTCCAATGTTGTCTGTCAAAGGGGTCCATTACTTGGGGTTTTCCTGGACCCGCAGCTACTGCTAGAGGAGCAGGTGGAGGCCTTTGCTCAAATATAAAGCAAGAAGACTGGGCAGCAGTAACTTGTGCTTTCATCAGTACTTGGGTGGATTACTGCAATATGAGGTAGAGGCATCCATAACTGCCCATGCCACTGCATTCTGCACCAGCTGCAGCTTGCAAATACTTTTCAAGGGTAGCCCCATGTAGAGCGCATTGCAAAAGTCCATATGGGAGATGACCAGGGGATGAATGATGAGAGAAAGGCTTTCCAATCCAGGAAAGGGTGCAACCAGCACACAACACAAAGTTGAGCAGGAGTTGTGCGTCCAGGAGGACCCCCAGATTGCACACCAGGTCTGTCTGGGGCAGTGCAACCCCACCCAGAACCAAGGATGGTAAAACCCTAGATACAGAAAAGTCCCAAACCCACAGCCACTCAATCTTACCAGCCTGTTGTTCTCCATCCAGACCCCGAAAGCCTCCAGGCACCATGAAAAAACATCCAGAGCATCACTTAATGCACCTAGGACAGAGATGTATAATTATCATCCGTGAACTGATGATACCTCATCCCAAGGTAACAGATGATCTCATCCAGCGGCTTCATGTTGATGATAAAAAAAAAGTGGAGAGAGCACCAAGTTTTTTGATTAGTAGAATTAGAAGCAGTACTTACACATGCATGTTTATCCATCTGTAGATTCATACTAAATCTGATCAAGAAATAGCCAAGATACCAATTCTTGAATAGGATTTATGACTGTTCACTGAGCACATTACTGTACTTAGATGTCAATAAGTCAGGCTCAACTTCTGGTGAAAGCATGGACAAAGACGGATAATGGAATATATAATGACAGCAGCATATAAGAAGTTTGCTTCATTAGTACCAGCAAGGCCTTTAATTATGTGGATCTGGGGAAGGAAGTGAGAGTGTGTTGCATATTGTTCCCAGTCATTTAACTTACATAGCAAATTTATCTATCATATTTATATAGCTACCCATCTCACAAACATGACTTTGGGCAGCATACAAAAATATATTAAAAGTAGCTTGGAAGATATGACAACTGGAATCAAAATTGGAGATCAAAATGCTAAGAGTTTATGATGGGCATATTGTGGAACACACTATGAATTATTGGTCAATACACATATATGTATATGCTTGGATAAATGTAGCAATCTATTGGCCAGGTAACCCAAAACCTTACTCCACCTTTGATCATGCCCAAAATGTTGTTCAGCCTGTCCAGGACCTTATTTCACACCTCTCTCTTTTTATCACCACTCTGATATTGGCTATTCATGAAAAATATCAGTCTAAATATATGCTGACTTATTTTACCCTTCATCTGGGCATACCCAGCTGCATGAAAGACTATTGGCTCATGGGTCTGTGGCTTTGATATGATTATTATGCCAAGTATTAGAATAGCTGAATAGCTGTTGAGAGCTTTTTCTCACCTCTCTCTGGTTCTTTGGAATCAAGTCCCCACTAGAATTAATTGGAGTCAGAGACTTTCAAGCATAAAGAAGTACTAAACATGCTTCTTTTTCTTAGACCATTAGCATTTTTAAAAAATGCAAATTAATTTGAATGCACAGATGTTGATTTGATCATTACGGGCCTTTTTGCCTCCAGCTCTTTTTTATATTGTGATTTTACAATTCGTTTTAATATGTCATAGTATTAATTTGTATCCTATGTCTGTATTGTATTTATACACAAATTATAAATGAATTTACTAAAACTATTATATGTTCAAGATTAAGCTACATCTACTAGGTTATCTAGGATTTTAGTACAGCTATAGAAAACAGGATGAATACATCTAACAGAAACTTCCATTACTAATTCATTTACTGAGTTGAGCTGCCTAGTGAATCAAAGGCAGCTATATGGCAGAAGGCTTATGCACAGGCTTCACACATTCAGAATATTCATATAATTAGGAGTCGTTATATGTGCAAGCCTACATGCAAGCGTTGCCTTTAAAACTCAGGCACCCCGAGTGACAAGGAGCTGAAGACCTACTCCCTGAATTTGGGAAAGAAAACCATTTTACCTTTGCAAAGGTGGCTTCTTAGCCTACCTGAAAATACAAACCATCCAATAATTCAGGCAAAGCAAAAAGCATTTATTAAGAGGGGTCAAGTCTTTTTATAGGGAACAGAAATAAATGATACATACATTCAGTATATGTGATACGTCAGAAAACAACTAATCAAACAAAAAAAGACATTGATTACACATGAGAATTGAACAATAGAAAACATTGATTCCAGATAAGATTCCACAAGTGGCAAATGTATGGGTTATTTCACTCCCTTTCCCAGCCGGGTTTATATCTTTAAAACTTGCAAGTATATTCAAGGACTTTCCGAATACGCTTTCTATTGTTTAGTTGCTGAAAAGGCAAGTTCTCAAATATACCAAAAGAAATGGCCTTGGCC